CGGCGGGGAAAGAGTTAAAAGAGTTAAAATACTGGTTAAGCTACTTATTTCTACTTGGAATTTGGTGGATAGTTTTCATTTAGGCTTAGTAATTTATTTATGTATTTATTTATTCACTTTTTAACGCCATGCCAGCATCACGGCTATTTTCATGGCGATCTCTGAATAACTTATACAAGGTATACAATTAACAAAAGGTTATCAAAGACGTTTCAGATGTACACTAGACAAAAATTCTAAAATACATTCAGGTGATACATTTTTAAATAAATCAGTTAGACACACCTCTGAATAAAACCATTGTCTATTTACATTAAAAACAGTACAATCCAATAAAATATGTTTCACGGTCATTTTAGTTTGGCAAGTAAGGCATGATGGTGGTTTAATAAATATCCATGTGTAAATCTTGTATGACCTAAAAGACCTAGATTTAAAATGAGTAAAAAAAGAAAAATCTTACACTAGGATATAGCTTATTTTGATTATATTTATCCCATTCCATCTGCCACATGTCATTAATATAAGAGTTTATCACAGGTTTGACATCCCAAAAAGGATTTTTTTTAGGCTCATGAATGTGCGTGCAAAGTTTCAACATATAGAAGTGTTTTGGTCTTTTGTGTTGGGGTCAAACTAAGCTCCGTTAGTTTCTGTGCAATTTGCCAAAACTCAACCCTTTGGTATATATTGTGGTCAACTTGAGCCACACTCAATATTCAAACTGCTTGAAATACTGGTTAAGCTGAGTATTTCCTTTTGAAATTTGGTGGATATTTTTCATTTAGCATCAAGAATGTGCGTGCAAAGTTTCGACACAGATGTGTTTTGGAAAGGCTGTTCGAATTTTGTTAGCATTTTTATATTGCAGTCAATTTAAGCCTCACTCAATTTTCAAACTGCTTGAAATACTGGTTAAACAATCTATTTTTTCTTGAAATTTGGTGAACACTTCTCATTTAGGGTCATCAATGTGCATGCAAAGTTTCGACACATAGATGTGTTTTGGAAAGGCTGTTCGAATTTTGTTAGCGTTTTTATATTGTGAAAAATATATATATATATAATATCTGAAAAATTTCACAGTGCAGTTGGTCAGTTAACTCTTCCCTGATTCATTTACATCACTATTCACACACAGCAGGATCTCATTTCTCACGCAGGAGGTAAGTGAAAAAAAATATTTCCAAAAAAAATTCTGAGTTATTAATACTGTAGCAATAATCTGAATCGGTGGACAGATGGAGTCTGATCTGTTCTAGATTGGTTTAGTTTGTTTATATCACAGATGCATCTGATTAACAAACCAGAACCTCGAGTGAGAAACACTGATCCGTTAACCACTTTGTCTTCTTCTTATATTATTTCTGCCTTTTTGTTGTTTTAGAGTTACTTTCGATGTTAATAAAGTTGTTAATGTTTCATTACATGTTTTCAGTGTTTTGGGTAGAAATGTATGAACAGAATACAGAATCAAAAGCTATAAATGTTCTTTAATATTTCAAACTGTGAAAAAATAACAGGGACTTTTATATTTATTTATTTATTTATTTTGCCAGTCTCTCTCAAAGTCTAAATCATTTTTAATATGTCAAGCAGTCATTGAGTGACGGAGCTAAATTATCTTTTAATTATTTTCTCTGTATTAAAAAATCTTTTCAAACTCTCTTTCTGGAGTTATTGGTCGGTAAATAAGCACTTACGTCGGTGTCAGAGTTTCAATACTCTTGAATTCTGGTCATCATTAAAACAGATAAAGGTGAATCTGCTTTAACATTGGTGAAAATGAATTACCTAATTAACTAGCGGTCACACAGTCATGTGAAGAAGCTTCATCTTCTGCTGCTGCGAATCAAAGGTCAGGTTTGTTGAACTTTATATCGTGCAAAAGCATTCGACCAATAGAAGCTCTGAGCACCTCAGCCTGAGCTCTTGACTCGCCTGTGATTGGCTGGAGGAAGTCAGCCTGTTGTCCAGTCATGCATCAGCGTTTCATTGGTCTGGAAACCAGACTGAAGCCATTCTCAGACCGTCATCTCAATATGAGGAGGCCGTCTCTGCTGTGACATCACTTCCTGCAGAAGAATGAACGAATGATGAACATTCATGAACATGTGTGTGTTTGCAGGACCAGACTCAGTCATCATGAGGGCCGTCACGTCCGAAAGCGGCTCTGGAAACGAATATACAGACGAGTTTGAAAATCCAGAGGCCAGTGATGACAGCGAGTTCTGGAGGAAAGGTGTGAGAGAACAAAAAACTGAAAACAGATGAATGCACACGATAAACAATGTGTTAATTCATATGGGAAAATGCAGAAAGGTTTGTGTGAGGGTTAGGAGATGGAAAGCAACACTAGTTCAGTAGAAAAACAATGGAAGTCAATGGAAAGACACCAGAGAGAGACAAAAACAAATGTGTGTGTGTGTGTCTGTGTGTGTGTGTGTGTGTGTGCATGTTTATGTGGTTTATGAGGACACAAATTTGTATAATAACATAGGTATGACAACGAGAAGGTGATTTATGAGGACATTTTCAGTGTCCCCGTAATTCAAAAGCTTATAAATAATTCAGAATGAGTTTTTTTGAAAATCTAAAAATGCAGAAAGTTTCCTGTAAGGGGTAGGTTTAGGGTTAGGGTTGGTGTAGGGCAATAGAATATACGGTCTGTACAGTAGAAAAACCATTACGCCTATGGAGAGTCCCCATAAACCATAAGAACAAACCTGTGTGTCTGTGTGTGTGTGTTCTTTCTCTGCTCGTTGACTGACTGTAGTTTATTCAGCTGCTCAACCTCCTTTGACCTTTGACACACACTGAGTTCTCCCCCTAGCAACATCCTAGCAACCACTCAGAATCAGAAGAATCGCACAGCAACAAGTGAAAAATTCCACTTGTAACGTCTTAGCAACCAAACATCAACGCCCTGGCAACAAGAACACTTCAACTTTGCACAGACAAACATCACTCACATTTTCCTTCATAAAATATCAGTTTTAGAATATTATTCATAAAAAAAATTGTAAGAACAAAATGTAGGCTGGCAGTATATACTGAGAACAAAAATGATGTGGAAATATTTTTCACTCAGAAATTGCTGCGTTTCACAAATAATTACAAAGATGCAGCAAGTGGCATTGAATTAAATAGTAGAAGGACCGAAAAAGTATTTTCTTGTAAAACACACTCTATTAATATTTATTTACAACATATTTTTTACAGTGTATAACAAATGAGACAAAGCAATATATAAACTATAAACATGTGGTGAACGGAAACTAGGCCTACATCAGATATAATTTTTGTGTTCACATTTGCTCCAATAGCTCCACTGCATTTCTATGACTTTCCAAAAGACTGCCACAAAGTAGCTAGTTTTCAGCATAGTTTTCTAAGGTAATGAATACAACACAATTGGTCGGTAAATAAGTCAGACAATTGGTCGGACCATTTTTGTATGTTTTGAAATTATAAACATATTTTAAAAATATTGATAGATTGAGTGATTGATAGATTGTCATACGGCTCCAGAATAAGTGTGTGCAGTGTTGGGGAAAGTTACTTTTAAAAGTTATGCATTACAATATTTCGTTACTCCATAAAAAAGTAACTAATTATGTTACTTAGTTACTTTTTATGGAAAGTAATGCGTTACGTTACTTTTGCGTTACGTTTTAAATCTGGACAGGGCTTGCTTGTTTGTTTTTAAAATAAAAAAGTTCTATTTTTGGCAAATATAAAAGCCTTTTCACACCAAAAGTGAAATGAATAAGCCTCAGGCTGAAGGGAAGTAAATTTACGTCCGTACAGTAGAATGCAGAAGAAGAAATTTCAACACTTCAGCAATAAAAAAAGACACAAATGTTCGTCTAGAGTCATTTGTGCTTATTAGTACGGTTGAATTGGATCATCGAAGGTCAGAAGCAAATAGAATAGGATTAAATACATAAAGGATATCCCCCAACACTGTGTGTGTGTGTGTGTGTGTGTGTTAGAGTCGTCTGTGCGCAGGATCATAGTGGCGCCCTCTGTCGGTCGCTGGCGGTGGCAGGTATTTACCGCGATCAGTGTAACGGCTCTGATTCTGCTGCTGCTGATCATCACAGTGTCTGTAAGCCGTGAGTAAAACACGCCGAAAAACATCATCATATCATACTGACAAGCATGTTATGTCCTATTTGTCTTTATTAATTTCTAAATAACTTATATTGTCAGAGTGGAATGGTTCAAGTCGGTCAGAAAGATCGTATTTACAAGTTGACTCGGGCGAATTTTAATTTTGACATTGGTGGGGACATACCCCCCCCCAATCCAACTACCGCAACATTTTTGCATTTATGATCGATATTTGATCACAGTTTCATGTCATCTAAAGTCTTTATTTATAGCTATGGTAGCTATAACATAGCCTACTCATAATTCATAAAGAGAGCTTTTTATGTTAGCATACACTCTAAAAAATGCTGGGTTGTTTTAACCCAACTTTGGGTCAAATATGGACTAACCCAACTTTTGGGTTAAAAATGTAATTGAAAAGTTTAACCCAACAGTTGGGTTAGTCCATATTTGACCCAAAGTTGGGTTAAAACAACCCAGCATTTTTTAGAGTGTAGTTACACTATTTTGATAACGTAAAACCAACAACATTACAGTAGCAGTTTTAATGATGTTTTCTTTGGATTGTTTGACCAGCTACTCAAAAGAGAATATAGCCAAATATAACCTAATTAATTTATGTTTCCTGCTAGCTGAATTTCACATAAACAAGAATCTGGCTCTAAATCGCTCTTTTCTTTATTCAAAGTTTGGAAGAAAAAAAAAACACAAATTGGTAACCACAAATTAACCATGATTTTGCTACACTGAACATAGTTTAACCATGGTATTTGTAGTAAAACCGGTTATACAAATGGTAATCAATACACTTTTACTATAATAAAACCATGGTTAATTTTATTAAGGGATTTCTATCTGTGTATACTTTTAATCTTTGTTTTGTTTTTATAACTGCCTGGTTTGATGATTTGCACTGTTTAATAAAAAAGAAAGAATTTAGTATATATATATATATATATATATTTGTTTTTAAATAAACACAACAATTTTATATATACAACAATCACTTCTTAAATAGACACAAGGGTTAAACTTTTTTTTTTTTTTTAAATTTACCTTAAAAAATTTTTTTTTTTTGGTAGAAAATGTACATCGTATTGTAACTACTTCCCAAATCGTAAATACAAACTTGATTTGAACGCAGCATAATACGGCCAAAAAGTAATGTGGAATATGTACACGAATAAGTGTACATCAATAAAAATCAATAAAAAATAATGATGTTTAATTTTTTCATAAGTGTAACTGTGTTTTGTTAGATGTGAAGTTTGACAGGAAGTTCTCAACTGCAGAGATGAACGTACAGAATCTGACGCAAACGCTCGTGAGCATCATAACCAGAACACGTGACCTAGAGGAACACGGTAATGTAGCCTTCATCATCTTTCATCCATATGAAACAACTTTCTCATCTGACGTCATCAATCGCTCTTATTCATTAACTAGTAAATCAACTAGAAAATGAAGAATATCAAGTCCCACCTACATTAGTTTTTTTCACTAAATTGTTTCAACTATTGTCACAATGTAGAAGCAAAATGTGTTTTACAATGATGTGTGTTCAGGACATAAACTGCTTTTGGAGATCAGCAATCTGGAGCTTAACCAAGAGACGATGCAAAGCATGATTAATGATAGTAAGTAGCACGCAAATACACACGCAGACAAACCAAACTAGACAAACTAATGTAAATACACTGCGGATCTTAATATATGTGTGTTTGTTTAGTGTCGGATTCAGCGCAGGTACTCCGTGACAAAGTTTCGAATCTGAAATGCCAGATTAACAAGATAAGGAACAACAGTAAGTGATGCTGTATTAGTGTGTCCTCATGTCTCGTGCAGAGCGTGACACACATGTGTATGTTCAGACACGCAGGAGCTGTGCTGTCCTGATGGATGGCTGCTCTTTTCCTCACACTGTTATTTCTTCTCTGATGACGGGATGCCGTGGGACGCGGCCAGAGACGAGTGTCAGAAGAAGAAATCAGAGTTGCTCATCTTAAAAAGCAAACAGGAGAAGGTCAGAGCTGATCCGTACTGTACAACTAAACCAACACAAATAAACCAAAAGAGCGTAACCAACAGCACCAGCCACACAATTAAACTAACAGAACTACTCATCACAACTAAACCAACAGCACCAGCCACACAACTAAACTAACATAAATACTCATCACAACTAAACCAACAGCACCAGACACACAACTAAACCAACACAACGTAAACAGCACAACTTAACCAACAGCACCAGACACACAGCTTAATCAGAACATCTAAACCAACAGAACTACTCAACACAACTAAACCAACACAACTTAACCAGAACAACTAAACCAACAGAACTACTCAACACAACTAAACCAACACAACTTAACTAAAACAACTAAACCAACAGAACAACTAAACCAACAGCACCAGACACACAACTAAACTAACATAAATACTAATCACAACTAAACCAACAGCACCAGACAAACAACTAAACCAACACAACGAAAACAGCACAACTTAACCAACAGCACCAGACACACAACTTAATCAGAACAACTAATCAACACAACTAAACCATCACAACTTAACCAGGCGTGCGTTTCCCAAAAGCATCGCTAGCTAACTATGGTAGTTTAGTTAGTTCCATTGAAATCTATTGGTAACGACAGAACTTGCGATAATAGTTGCTGTTGGGAAACGCACCCCAGAACAACTAAACCAACACAACTAAAGCAACAGAACTACTCAACACAACTAATCCAACACAACTTAACCAGAACAACTAAACCAACAGATCAAAACCAAAACAACTAAACTAACACAAACCAAACCAACCAAGAGAAATAAACCAAAACAACTAAACAAAAACAAAATACACTAAAACAACTAAACCAACACAACTTCACCAGAACAACTAAACAAACACAAACCAAACCAACCAAGTCAAATAAATAAACACAACTAAACAAAAACAAATACACTAAAGCAACCAAACCAACAAAGCTAAACCAAAACAACTAAACCAACACATTTAACCAAAACAAATTAATGAAAACAACTAAACCAACAGCATCAACAACACAAGTAAACCAGCAGAAATAAAGTAAAACAACCGACACAAATCAAAACAACTAAACCAAAACATATTTGTTTTGTCTATTCTATTCGTTTTGGTCTAATTTATAACAAAAAAAACTTGCTATGTGTACTGTGCTAGGCTAACTGAGACTTGTCACAGCACTTGTTGCTCTCTCGTTGATCTGATTGCTTCTACTTTGTAAGTCGCTTTGGATAAAAGCATCAGCTAAATGACTAAATGTAAATGTAAAGCAGCATGTTTATTCAGACTGAATCAGTGCTTTAGTAATCGTGTGTGTGTGTGTCTGTGTGTGTGTGTTCAGAGTTTCGTGGCCAGTAAGACCAGGCCTCTGTTCTACTGGCTGGGTTTGACTGACGGCCACACCGGTGAGTGGGAATGGCTGGACGGAACACCGTACACGGTCATCAGGAGGTGAGTGTGTGTCCAGCGTCAGGAGCTTCGTTCACACTCCAGCGTTCATCACGTGTGTGTGTGTGTGTGTGTGTGTGCAGTGAATGGATGCCCGGTCAGCCGGATGACTGGACGGCTCACGGTTTGGGAGGTGGTGAAGACTGCGCTCACTTTCATCACGACGGACGCTATAACGACGACCACTGCTCTCGGCGCTACCGCTATATCTGCAAAGCTCACGCCTCCTCCATCTGAGACACGAATGTCCTTCACAGCGTCAACACTTTACAACAAAACTACATCAAACCAACAAACAACATCAGTGTGATTATAAACACACACAACTAAACTCACATAAATACTCATCACAACTAAACCAACAGCACCAGACACACAACTAAACCAACACACGGAAAACAGCACAACTTAAGCAACAGCACCAGACACACAACTTAATCAGAACATCTAAACCAACAGAAGTACTCAACACAACTAAACCAACACAACTTAACCAGAACATCTAAATCAACCGAACTACTCATCACAACTAAACCAACACCACCAGACACACACATAAACTAAAATATAACAAAAAAAACTTGCTATGTGTACTGTGCTAGGCTAACTGAGACTTGTCACAGCACTTGTTGCTCTCTCGTTGATCTGATTGCTTCTACTTTGTAAGTCGCTTTGGATAAAAGCATCAGCTAAATGACTAAATGTAAATGTAAAGCAGCATGTTTATTCAGACTGAATCAGTGCTTTAGTAATCGTGTGTGTGTGTGTCTGTGTGTGTGTGTTCAGAGTTTCGTGGCCAGTAAGACCAGGCCTCTGTTCTACTGGCTGGGTTTGACTGACGGCCACACCGGTGAGTGGGAATGGCTGGACGGAACACCGTACACGGTCATCAGGAGGTGAGTGTGTGTCCAGCGTCAGGAGCTTCGTTCACACTCCAGCGTTCATCACGTGTGTGTGTGTGTGTGTGTGTGTGCAGTGAATGGATGCCCGGTCAGCCGGATGACTGGACGGCTCACGGTTTGGGAGGTGGTGAAGACTGCGCTCACTTTCATCACGACGGACGCTATAACGACGACCACTGCTCTCGGCGCTACCGCTATATCTGCAAAGCTCACGCCTCCTCCATCTGAGACACGAATGTCCTTCACAGCGTCAACACTTTACAACAAAACTACATCAAACCAACAAACAACATCAGTGTGATTATAAACACTAATAATGTTTAATATTTCAAGGTTTCTGATTCTTATATTTACTGTATGTAAACAACAAAAACGATTAATTTGTTTAATTTTGATTTTATATTGATTTTGGAGGCATGACAATGTATTTTAGTTTAGTTAGTCATGTTTTAGTTCAGTTTCTCACATTACTGTGCTACAGAAAAATGTTGCTCTGGATGAAAGCAACCGCTAAACGAATAAATGTAACTCTGTACTTTTGATGCTACTGCCACGCTTAAAAATGAACATTAACTGAAAGTGTCCGCTGAAAGTGTAACTGAAACTGTTCACTGTTTTTACTGTATTTTTGATCAAATAAATGCAGCCTTTGTGAGCAGAAGAGACTCTTTCAAAAACTTTTAAAAACCCCAAACTTTTGAACAGTACTAGCATAGCTTTCTCTCTACTTCCATGTGGGTTTGACATTTTTATCATGAGACCTGCGAGTAAACACTGAGCTTTCAGAGGCGGCGCTGCTGCTCTTCCTCAGGCATCCAGCAGGGGGTGACGTGCGAAAATTTTCTGCAGGCATCTGCGTTGGTTTGAGGACCTGAGAGAGCCTTAGTGAAGCCGCGCGGGTCAGTGCAGGCACTTTAGCCTGGTTTCCAGGAGTGGTGGCGTGGCGTGTCGTTGACGCCACGGTGTTGCGAGCGAAGCTGGGTGGTTTGACCGTGGAATTGCGCGCTGAGGTTTGAGGACTGGGACAGTCGAGGCCACGGAGTGTAACGCGACACATCTTCTCCTCCGGACGAAACGCTTGCGTCGTCTTTGTGCGGCTGAGAACGCTTCGATTGGTTCGCTCCTGAATTTGTGCAGAAGAACTACGGGGCTGCCGGAGAGGAATGAGCTTCCTCAAACTCGCGGTTTCAGAGGCGGACACACGTTTAGGAGATGATGTCGATGGTTTAATGGAAGATGAAGGTGATTTCGCAGAAAGAGATTCTCTGTTTTTAGAGATGAAGGTTCGTTTGCTGATTGTTTGTTTCGCTCCAGTGCTGGTTTTGAGCGACTCTTTTGTAGGTTGGACAATATCTTTAGTTTTTCTCTCTGATTCGTCATTAATAACCTCTGATTCTACCACTAAACTGATTCGTGAAGGGTCAGAGGTCACGCTTGGAGTCAGTTCTGTATTTCCCGATGTTTCCTGGCTTTTTGTTTGAAGGTCGTTGTTCTGCGATTCTTGTACGGAAAGAGTCTTATTTTGGATCTCTGGCTCCTCTGTCGTGTTTGTGATGGAGAGTGAGTGTACTGGAGGAAGTACAATTGTATCCGATCCAAAGGGGTCAAAGGTCACATCTGGAGTCAGTTCTGTATTTCCCAATGTTTTTCCTGTATTTTCCTGTGTTTGAAGGTCGTTGTTCTGCGATTTCTGTATGGAAAGAGTCTTATTTTGGATCTCTGGCTCCTCTGTCGTATTTGTGATGGAGAGTGAGAGTACTGGAGGAAGTACAATTGTATCCGATCCAAAGGGGTCAAAGGTCACATCTGGAGTCAGTTCTGTATTTCCCAATGTTTCCTGGCTTTGTGTTTGAAGGTCGTTGCTCTGCGATTCTTGTATGGAAAGAGTCTTATTTTGGATCTCTGGCTCCTCTGTCGTGTTTGTGATGGAGAGCGAGTGTATTGGAGGAAATACGAGTGTATCCGATCCACAGGGGTCAAAGGTCACGCTCTTCTGTTGCGGTGAGCGACGTGGACTGTGACGGCTCGTCTTGAGCAGCTCCAGAAGCCCCTTCCTCTTTAACACCGCCGCCACATCTGCTTCACTATTGGACCGCAAGATGGAGACTCCGCCCATATCCCCATGCCCCGCCCACGAGTGCCGCTTGTCCTCCGACTCCTTCAGACGCTTGCGCCGAGACTCCTCCCACATTTCTCGCTCCACGTTCTCCTGAGGAGAGAAAAGAGTGCTGATGATTACCAAACTAGTTTAAGTTCAGAGCCTGAATTAAAGAACATATAAAATAAATATAAAAGACAAGGGGGCCTCAATGGAGTGCTAGGGGATTCATGGAAACATTTAGAGAAAATGTAAAAATAAATATATAATAATAAAGAATTAAATAAATAAATAATTTGAATATATTACAATAAATAAATAATACAATTATATTAGATTAAATAAATATTAGATGTAAATAAATAAGTGAACAATAAAATATAAACATTAAAATATCAGTAAGTAAACAATATTAATTATATTATCTTAATTAATTAATTTAGGACATTTAATAATATAGTACTATAGTGAGTAGAAAAAAAGTTTGTTTTACTATGCTTTTTTTCCCAATATTTTGATATTTTAAAAAAGTATAGTATATAGATTACCAATTTAAATTAGTCTAAACAGGATTTAAACATCAAAATATAAATAAGTAAACAATACAAATATGATTATTAAAATTTGATGAGTAAAAATAATATATTTAACAATACTGTACTGTTGTAAATAGAGAAAGTTCATTCTAATATGCTCTTTAAACTTGGTCTTTAAACATGAAAATTATAATTGTGTAAAAATACAAATTTGATTAAATAAATAAATAATATATGAATAGAAAATGAGAATATATATCAGTAGGAAAAGAAGTTAATTAATTATGCTTATTTTCCCAATATTTTAATATTTAAAATCTATACATTAGTAAATTAGTCTAAACTGAGTGTTTAAACATGAAAATATATAGCAGCCACGCATGGCAAGTAAATAATTTTATTTTTTTTTTTTTACCTGAATTGCTTTTTTGAATTTGGAGCAGAAATTCTGGAAAATTCGGAAGCACTCGTCCAGTTTGAAGACGCCTCTGTCCTCACAGAAGAAATCGATCAGAGCGTCTCCTTCCCTCTGAACCTCATCAATACTGATCCTCAGATCCTCCAGAGCTGCAGCGGCACTCTGAAACACATCAACACACACAATCAGACATGACTGGGGCGTACATGAAACGTTGCATTTAAAATCAGACATGCCACAGGTCAGAGGTCACCTGTAGGAAGGACTGCAGCTGCGTCAGGAGCTCATCATCTGAGTGGATGGTTTGCTGTAACTGATGAACTCTTCTGGTCAGAGTGTGAAACTCATCATGGATGCTGTCAACACACACTCTACACACACACACACACACACACACACACACACACACACACACACACACACAAACACACACACACAGGTTTATACAGTAGACATCCATTGTTTTAATATCAGGGAATGATATTTTCTCTTCACAGAACCCCCTAAACATAACACCTTCACAGAAAGCTTTGCAAAAAAACTGGATGTAAATAGAAACATGATTGGGATGCAGCAGTATTTTAGTATGATTGCTATGTCAGTGTTTCAACAGTGAAATGAGTGTTAGATCAGATGATTGTTTTCTCACCGCACTGCTTGCTGAACATGCTGAAGTTTCTCTGGAAACATGAGCAGATCTTTCTTCTGAGCTTCCTGAAACCAGACAAGAACCATTTTGTTCATTTAAAAGGGGAGTCATCTCAATTATCACCAGTAAAATAGAACAAGTGTGTATTCTGTTTATTGCATTATAGACCACCTCAGACTGATAGAGACCAGCTCAGACTGACAGAGACCAACTAGCTCAGACTGATAAAGACCAGCTCAGACTGATAGAGACCAGCTCAGACTGATAGAGACCAGCACAGACTGACAGAGACCAGACCAGAGCACAGACTGACAGAGACCAGCTCAGACTGATAGAGACCAGCACAGACTGATAGAGACCAGCTCAGACTGATAGAGACCAGCACAGACTGATAGAGACCGGCACAGACTCACAGAGACCGGCACAGACTCACAGAGACCGGCACAGGCTGACAGAGACCAACCAGCTCAGACTGATAAAGACCAGCACAGACTGACAGAGACCAGCTCAGACTGATAGAGACCAGCACAGACTGATAGAGACCAGCTCAGACTGATAGTGGCCAGCCCAGACTGATAGAGACCGGCTCAGACTGACAGAGACCAACTAGCTCAGACTGATAAAGACCAGCTCAGACTGATAGAGACCAGCTCAGACTGATAGAGACCAGCACAGACTGATAGAGACCGGCTCAGACTGACAGAGACCAACTAGCTCAGACTGATAAAGACCAGCTCAGACAGCACAGACCCAGCTCAGACTGATAGAGACCAGCACAGACTGATAGAGACCAGCTCAGACTGATAGAGATGATAGAGACCTGATAGAGACCGGCACAGACTCACAGAGACCGGCACAGACTCACAGAGACCGGCACAGGCTGACAGAGACCAACCAGCTCAGACTGATAAAGACCAGCACAGACTGACAGAGACACGCTCAGACTGATAGAGACCAGCACAGACTGATAGAGACCAGCTCAGACTGATAGTGGCCAGCCCAGACTGATAGAGACCGGCTCAGACTGACAGAGACCAACTAGCTCAGACTGATAAAGACCAGCTCAGACTGATAGAGACCAGCTCAGACTGATAAAGACCAGCACAGACTGACAGAGACCAGCTCAGACTGATAGAGACCAGCACAGACTGATAGAGACCAGCTCAGACTGATAGTGGCCAGCCCAGACTGATAGAGACCGGCTCAGACTGACAGAGACCAACTAGCTCAGACTGATAAAGACCAGCTCAGACTGATAGAGACCAGCTCAGACTGATAGAGACCAGCACAGACTGATAGAGACCGGCTCAGACTGACAGAGACCAACTAGCTCAGACTGATAAAGACCAGCTCAGACTGATAGAGACCAGCTCAGACTGATAGAGACCAGCACAGACTGATAGAGACCGGCTCAGACTGACAGAGACCAACTAGCTCAGACTGATAAAGACCAGCTCAGACTGATAGAGACCAGCTCAGACTGATAGAGACCAGCACAGACTGATAGAGACCGGCTCAGACTGACAGAGACCAACTAGCTCAGACTGATAAAGACCAGCTCAGACTGATAGAGACCAGCTCAGACTGATAGAGACCAGCACAGACTGATAGAGACCGGCTCAGACTGACAGAGACCAACTAGCTCAGACTGATAAAGACCAGCTCAGACTG